CTCTGGGGTTTACTGAAAACCTGTTTTTTTTTTATATACTTTTTTATAGAGATTTTAAATACTTTTTACAAGTATAGAGCGGTATTTGCCTCTGAAATCTCTTCATTCACGGTTGGTTGAATGGGTAACTAACAATTGTTCACAGTGAGCTGTGTCCTATTCCATCACATGGTTTAAACCTTTTGATATTTTTGACAAACTTACCCCGAAGTGAATTTTGAATGAAGTTTTTTTTTTTTTTTTTTTTCCCTGACCTCTCACCTAACTTTGGGAGTTTTCCAGAGCATCTCTGGAATGTCTCAAAAGATTTGTTCTCTCTCCTCATAAAACAGAGCCATTCAACTTATAAGGCACATTTGCTCCATTATAGGGCAAGCTCTATCAAAGAAGAACTGACGCTAAACTTTCCTTTAGGTTCTATTTGTAGCAAATGTCAATGTGTCCCAAAAATGCATGAAGTTCCCAAACTCGGCTATGTTCTACCGTTATCAGTCATAATTCTAGTTGTCTTAAAATGTGTGCCACTGAAATAACTGAATGCAAATTACCACTTGCAGAATAGTAAACTCATGGGAACTTTAACCGCAGCCATTTTTAAGTCTCTTGTCATTTACAGACAGTTATTATTTTACTGTGATGCTTCTGCAAAAGTGTACCTGAAACGTGCTTCATCTTCACCTAGATTCAGGGGAAAGACTTTGACAGATACATGTTTCTGACAACTTTAAGAATGAAACAGTGAACTAGGTAAGCATTTCTAAAACTTTAGAGGAAAACGGATTCATAAATCTGCTAACCCAAGATGAAGCAAAACAAGGATTCATTACAGGGAGTTCGATAAACTCGTGAAGAGGATTGTAATTTGTATGACTTCTCTGTAAATGCTGCTGTTAATGTTCTGTCTGCCTAATTTAAAGGACCTTGTTCTTTCCAGCTTTTTATAATTTATAGCAATTTGGTAACGTGTGCTTTGGTAAACAAAACTTTGAAAAGCATGTACCTTTTTCTCTCTTCCTGATCCTGTTCATTGTCTTTGGGGTTTTATCTCCTTGGAAGTGGCAGGGGCGTCGTCGCAAATCGTGTTTGCACAGGACCTGCAGTTCGGGCCACTCCGGCAGCGCCTCCTCCAGACATAAAACCTCAGCATCCATGCTGTCCTGGGGAATCCTGAGCACATGTGAGTAATAAGTGTGTGGTGCCTCTGTCAATAACTCAGAAAGAACTGCTTTAGATGTGGATGCATTATCCAAGACCAAAACATCTGACTTAAGGAGGGAAAAGCTGAATCTGATTATACTTGAACGAGCCACTTCATTGGTTAAATCTTGGCTCTTAGGAAGCTCAGCTTCAAGAAATTTCTCAGTCCTCAGCTACTGTTCTTCTAGCCATTGCCTGAAGTTCACTGATGTGTTCTATGGACTGAGAGTCCCCGCCTCCCGTGGGCAGCCACTCCCGCCAAGTGATGTCCCTCAGGACGGAAGGCTGCTTGGAATCAACAAGAAGTAGCTGCTTGGCCCCGGGGACCACTCAGCTAGAGGAAACCAGTTTATGTGATTCCTGGATGGGCCATCAACTTGCAGCTAGGAATGAACGCTGCACTGGCTGTTCAAATCTTGGCCTCAGAGTATGGCTGAAAGGTGAGAATTTGGAAAGTCAAAATATCAGACTTGAACATTCGCTAAACCAGTTTAGCCAGACAAACAAGGCTTATTTTAGCTTATTTTAGCTTATTTTGCAAGACTGTCTTGACCTGGGTCATGTCTTGCTTATTTATGCCTCTAGAAATCATAAGCAAAGTTAAAACTGTTTACCAAAATTGACGTGGGGTAACCACTAACCAACTTTCTAGAATTCAAGCAAAGTCTAATGTTATAACCAATCACTGTGAAGAAAAACCAATCGCTGCCTTCTCAGCAGACGCTGCTCTATCACCACGTACCCCTGAACATCATTCCAGGCTGGAGGCGAGTGCGCCAGGCTCATAAGCTGGCTCTGGTGTGTGCACAATAAGCTTTTACTCATTTAGGATTTCAGTTGTTGCCGAAATTTTAGCAGGTGCCTGAGAGTGGGCCTTTCAAAGAAGTATTTCAAAAGAGGATAAAATGCTGCAGAAATATCAGTGACCCGCATATGGAAGGGCGCTGTTCCTCCTCCGGACGTGCACACGGGCACACACGCACGCGCACATGCTCAAATGCAATTTCTTACTAGCATGTAAGTGCTGCGCTCCACGGTGCACGGTCAGGTAACCTGGGGACAGCCGGGCCTTCCTGGGTGCCGCTCGCGTCCTAGAGCCGTCTCCGAGGCGAGCTGGGGAGGTGCTCCCCTTCTCTGCTCACCGCCTGCATGGCTGCCCCAGCTGCATGGAGTCGGGGTCGAGTCCTGCCACTCACAGGGCGCCGCGAGGAGGCCTGTCGGGGTTCTCGCCGACTCCAGGGCCAAGCGCCCAGAGGGCCCCCAGGGCAGGGGGGATCGAGGGGTGCCCCCGCCCAGCGCACCCCAGGGCCCAGTCCCGTTCCTGGCCCCGAGCCCCCGACCGTGCCCAAGGACGGCGGGCTTCTGCCTGGGGGTCTCAGACCAGACTTGGCCTCAGGGGCTGTGGGGAGGCTGGGGTGGCGGGGTGCGTCTGCAGCTCGCATGGCGGGGGCCCCAGGCCCCTTGGAGTCAAGGTGAGGCGCCGTGCCGGCGCAGGCAAGACCCCGCCTCAGAGCAGGGGTCCTGAGCACCCCCCGCCCCCGCCATCAGTATGGGGGTCCCGGGAAGGGGGAGCCGGCACACTGGCCCCAGACTTCCAGGGGGGCTGGGTGTGCCGGCA